GAAAGCCTGCCTGTGCACCCCTGGGCAACAGCCAGCTGCCCTGGGGCAGTTCTGAACTCTAGGGGTACCAGGGACATGGCTGTGGTCAGGGGATGTGCATACCCCTGATGGGGTGCCCGGGGGGCAGAGCTGGCTCTGAGGGGGGTCCAGAGCCATACACCCTGGCGATGCCGGAGCACACCAAGAGCCCAGATCTCCCACCCGCTCAGAGCAATGTGCTTCCAGCACCGCTCGAAGCCAGCTCCAGCCGTGCCCAGGGATTCCATCCCAAGCAGACCCCTGTGACCCTGCACAAGGGTGCTCGAGCAGGGACCCCACCGGTGCTGCCTGCACCCCCCCACAGTGAGAGGTGCTCGCAGCCCAGTCTTGCAAACCCTCCATGGGCTACTGCCAGGACCCCTCCTTCCCTCCCCCAGCAAGAACACAAAGAGAGAAGAGGCCTTTTAATTCCTCCCACTCCGCTTTTCCTGCTGCTTGTGCCTCGCTCGGGATCAGGAACAACTTCCCCTTTGCCACGTCCCATCTGGCCGATGCACCCCAACCTCGGGGAAAGGGGGGGCCAAGTGGAGCCACCCAGGAAGCACCTGCCCCCCCAGCACCCCCTGACAAAACCCTCTGCAGGGGACCCCCGAGCCACACACCTGGGGTGCAGCCATCTGGCACGGTGGGGGCCACCCAGTGCACCCCACAGGTCCCCTTCCCGTTCCCCCTGCCTCACCCCACCTCACCCCCTCGCTGTCCCCTGGGCTCTGCAGCCCCTCGCCCACCTCTCCCTCCCTGGGCAGGGGGGCGGGAGGTGCCCTGGGGGTGCCCAGGGGTGCAGGCAGCCTTGGGCCAGGGCTGTGCTGCTCTCCCCGGCCAGGCTTCACCGCAGCATCTCTTCAGGTGTTTTGAGGGGGGGGGACTGTGTCAAACACTGTCCCCAAAATCAATCCTCTTGGGCTGCTTTTGTCCTGGGGAGCTGGGGGCTCAGCTCAGAGTCCCTGCCCAAAAATACTGGGAGCTGGGGAAAGGTGGGTTCTGGTTTTTACCACAAAAGAGACAGTCCCACGGGAATATCATGGGTGACCCCCCCTCCAGCTGCCCAGCTGCAGGGCTCCGCTAAGGAGCTAACGGCAGGAAAATAAACAAAAAAA